CATATTGGTAAAATATGCAATGTCAAACTTTATAAAATATAGTAATTAAACTGCATTAAATATGCACTAAAATGTACCTGATGACATGTATATGATTCACATTAATCAGCTGTTTATTCAGCAGTGAGAAAGTAGAGTGGATAATACTCCAAAATACAGCTACAGTGAAGCTAAACTTCTTAAGCCGGGCGTACACTGTGCGATTTTTTTCAATCACGTACACTTAAGTCTATGGAACAGGGGCGGGTCATGAAGCTGGCTGCTAAATGTTGATTGGCGAACATACTTTTTACTGACTGCGGCCAGACAGCGAGGAGGTTTCCCTCATGAGTCAAGAGGGAAAAGTGATCATTCAGGCAGAACAGTCAACTTGTGCTGAACTCTAGCTGTCGTTTCTGGAGTTTATTATTTCAAAATGCTTCACAACAGCTATTTTCACCCGTTGTTGTGATGTGTTCTATGTGTTTCAACAATTGTTCATGCAATATATGACATTGGGATTTAATTAATACCACTGAGGCTCCCATGTTTCAGAAAGCAGAATATTGCACAAATTGTAATTTCAACATAAATTAACTAAACGTAAAAACTGAAATATTCAAAAAAAAAAAAAAAAACTCATGATTTTCTATAAAAAGTTGTTTGTTTTTTGCTTTGATGAGGTAGTTTTTCAGTCATATCGAAATTTTTAACATTTTACAAAACTGCAACGGAAGCACTTTCTCCACATCACACGAGTTATGTGATCAGCAGCTGGCCCTTACTGAGTTGTAAAAAGAGGTAGACTGCATGTAGTTGGAGGATGATTGAGCCCACTAGAGCCTGAAATATGTATCATGGGTCCATCGGTGGATCTGTCCAGGAAAGCAGCAATTAAGCAGAAGAACTCTGAGCCACTTTTTTCGTTAAAGATGATCAAAGAGAGCACAAACGGTTAGTTACAGTAAAAGCAGAGTCCATATATTCTTAAATCTTAAGAAGAATATATGCTGGAGGAGATGTCTGGGGAGAGGGAAGTCTGGGGGTCTCTGCTGAGACTGCTTCCCCCGTAACCCGTTCACATACATCTGTTATTAATTAAAACTTCAAACTAAAATCAAAGAAACAAACATTGGAAGAAGCAGCAAGGATCTATTTGCTGGGTTTATAATCAAATCTCAACATGGAAGCACATCAGTTGGCATTTAGGGGCGCCAGTAAAAACCTTTCTTCTACTTAATGTTCAATTGGTCCTTTTAGTTCTTAAGGAATGTAAGCTTAGATTGTATAAAGAGCTTAAACTGTTTGCACATACAAACTTAACATTGAACCTAATTAAACAAGAGGAGCTAAATAGAAAAAGAAAAGAGTTGAAAAGAAACTATGCTAATTTTCTTTGACAGTGGTGCATTGCACAGGAGGTTTTATGTTAGTTACATTGGGCCTCGTGCAAAAACATTTCCATATTCTTATTATAAGATTCTTTTACTGCGGGTGCTTTGGGTCACTGTTCTGCTATGTGATTAAATTCCTCCCAATTAATTTGGAAGGATTTGTCCATAAATCAGAAGACAAAAGGTTTCTAAATTTCATCAGGGGAAAAAAGAGACTAGCAAAGTCAATCATCTGACCTACTGAGACATACTTTTTACCTCCTAAAGAGGAGACTGAGGGGGAAAAAGCAAGAACTGAAAGAAGATGCAGTTAAAGCCTGAAATTGCATCATAAATTAAGAATGTACAATTTCTGTGACGTTCACGTGTTGCAGGCTAGAGGATTTCTTTGCAAACAAGGCTAACACCAACACATTTAATTTGATTTACTTTAAGATTATTTGTTGCTTTACATTTGCTGTGGTGTAAATACAAACAGTGATATATCGAAAGTTGCTGTGCTGTTCAGATACTTATGAAGAGGACTGAATGACAAGATAAACTGAAAGAAGAATCTTCCTGTGACAGTCAGGTCTTCCTCTACAAGCTGACATATCAAAGATAGTTTTCCAAACTAGTTATACTTCAACAATTGTCATCTTTGATCGACTTGAACCTAAGACAACATATGTTTCATATCATGATGAAATAATATCATTGAAAATAATGTAATTAGTTTATTTCAGGTTAATGCATTTAATGTTTGGTGACCTGGAGGAACCAGGAGTGTCAGTAATTGGATATGTGTTGATCCTATATGTGATTAAAGCTTAAACGGCACACTGTAAAAAATGAGGTATTGTCTTGAAACAAGGCTCTGCTTGTAGACTTCATAATAACACATTTTGCAATATCCTTTGTAATAACTCAGTGGTCCAGCATTGCACCTCTACTTTTCCTTCTGTTCATGTTACCTAAGATGTATTTCACCTACTGGCACGGAGAAGGCATTTACCTCTATACTGACAACACAGCTGTAAACTGAATTTAATGAATTACTGTATCTAGAACAAAAAATGTTAAATGATGCAGCTTTATATGGACCAGACTGAAGTAATCTCGTTTGGCTTTGATGTATTTAGTGAAGTCAGAACTTTAAACTTAAAGCGAACTTTCAGAAAACCAACTATCCTGATAACTATGCTGAGAAGATTTAAAAATGTACCTTTGTAATTTTTTTCCTTTTATGATTACGATGTATTCTTGTGCTGTGAATATCTTTCCTTTTATTAACTTGGATTCATTTATGCATTGTTTTATGAAGATAAAAAGGTTATATCACTTGGTTTTAATTGCTCCTGCTTTTAGAAACTTTCATTTTTGTCCCTTTTTAAAATGTTTTCATATTTTTTTTTATAAAATTCTATGCCATGAAACTTTATGCTACTTTTATATTCCTAAGCTGAAACTGCACATGGAGCTTTAGATATTTTTTGGATGAAGGTTCCAATGAGACATTCCACTTATTACTGAAGGTCTGAATCTGGCTAAAAAGGGAACAGAATGCGGACTAATTTAATTTACGTATAAGTCACTTTAATGTGGTAATTAAAGGGGCATTCCTTAGTTCAGAACGTTTTTGTTCTGCAGTGAATTCATTCTTTTGAAATTCATTTTGCAAGATGATTAAAATACTTCAAACATGATTAAAAACAAGGTTAAAACAGAAATGGAAGTACATTTTATTTGAAGTGGAAAAACTTTGTGATAAATAAATTTCAACTTATCAGCAAGTTGGGACATTTTCCAACAAGACTTAAGGAGAACAGATTGCAAACATTTGAAAGAAGGCAGTTCCTTGGTATTTTTCTATGGCTGTGTGTTGCAGGCATCTGCAGACCACTTGTTTCTGAGACAGGAAGCGCACTGAAATGACTGCAACCACAGCATTTTAACTAGAGATGGTGATAATGTGGCCTTAAAAGCCTTAACTTAAAAGCACAACCACAGCATGTGCATAGCAGATAAACTAAACATTACCAGTAACTGCTGTCTGTTTATTGAAGTTAAATTAATTTGAATTCTATGATAGAAAGATTATTAAATGCTTGCCTGCTATTACAGCAATGTCTAGTAATCAAATGCACAGCTGCCACAGGTTGACTGAAGGCCAGATGAATCAAATCATCATCCTTGAACCTAAAGAAACTAACATCCTGTCAGCCCAAACACTCGTCTGCTTCTCTTGTGCACTTCCTCACTTTCCTCCTTTTGTTTTCTACATTCTTTGTTGCAAAGCACAAACATTCAGTCTTGCTGCGGCCTAGTCTGTTTTTGCCTTATCAGTATTACACACCAAGGAAATCAAAGCTTGGACGATAAACTGAGCTTTTTGGTCATCCTTTGCAGACATAAGATCTACATTGTTGAACAAATGTGTATTTTCTTTAATCCTCTGTTAAGATGAAATACTGCCATCTTGTGGTTAAACATGTAGTGACAATTAAGCCAAGGAGATGAAGCCTTTTTTTGTGCTCTTCCTTCAAAAAGGATTGGTTATCTACCATAGACTACGTGCATGTATGACATTAGCATAATTTTCATAATCATTTTCATTATCCTTTTTATTGTCGTTTTGCCTAAGGAATCTTCCAGAAACAGGAATATAAAACATTACAATTATTATTTGTGTTATTTTACTAAAATCTGTTAAACTTCTGGTTTGAAATTTACTTTTTTTAGTGTTGCAATGAGTTTGCCTCAACATTAAAGGGGAAATGTTAAAAAAAAAAAAGGTGCATATGCCTTTGGATTTAAGTATTTTTTTTCTTAAGTCCTGATAATAAATTACCATTTCTTTTTCCTTCTAGAAGGCCAACAATTTCCCTAATGACTCCCCTTTCAGAGGCATAGACCAGTATCGGCTATTGCAGGCTAGCAAAGATCTCAACGACTCCCCACTCCTAGGGGGCGGACCTGTTCTTCTGGTTCAATTTGCATGTTTTCTAAGTGAAAAAAAGGCTTTGTTTTGGGCTACTCCATAAAGCTTGGAGCTCAAAGCTAATTCTGACATATTGAATTGATAAAGCTTCCTGGATGGGAAGCGAAACGTCTTAATACTTGGAAACAAAGTTCAGTGGATGGGTGTTTAACTTTTTTGGAACTTTCTAGAAGAAAAAGGACACATAAACTCACATTAAACATTGGGATTTCTGTGTACAACAACTAAGGTAGAAGTTATTATACTACTAATTATAACCAATTAGAAAATCAAAGCCCACAAACAACTTTAATACACCAGTTTTGTTTTGTTCATAAAGTAAAAATAAAACACTAAATAATAATCTATCAAAACAGGTCCTGCTTAAGAAAAATGTAGATACATTTGTTCACTTTTTTTTATTAGAAAAGGCTTGTGATCCCAAATAGAAAAAACAACATATTTGTACTAAATTTAGATTTAGAAACATATGTTCTGACAAAAGACAAAATCAAAAGTAGAAGAAAACTCTCACGATTCCCAATATCTTTCCATTTATAAAACCATAAAACATAAACACAGAATATGCATATTGGAAGATTTTCAGCAGAATATTCAACCATTTCATTGCCTTTTTTTTTAAGTAAATTTTCTGGGGCTGTTTTTTAGTAGAAATAAGAAAATAAAACAGTCAGCATGTACAAAGAGATTCCAGTGTTAAAACTCATGAACATGTTAAAATGAAAAGCATTATTAGTACCTGATCTACCTTTCAGTGTCTGATTCTCCTGGTGTGGAGAAACTGAGGTGCTGAAATGTAAATCAAACAAAGATCAAACGTTGAAAACACTATAAAACTGAAGTTGTTCTGCGATGCGTCCTCAGTCGGAGTGAATGGACAGGGACAGTTTTAGGCAGCCCAGCTCTTTTCCCCCACCACCCAGGTTGCCCTGGACCCTGTAGTTCCCGTTGGTGAGCCAGTAAGGCAGGTCCATGTAGGGCAGGTAGAACTCGGACTGAGGCAGCGAGTACGAGCCCTGTGGGAGAAAGAGAATATAGGGAGAATCAGACAGGACTCTACCTGCTTCTTTTGAGCAAGTAGAATAAAATGGTCATTTTCAGTGTTCTCAATCTTCCTAACTTCTTTAAGCCTCTTAAACATGATGGATATCATCCCCCAGACTAAATCTTGAAGACAATGACCCTTTCTCATCATACTAGCACTTAGATTTGTTCTCAGTTTACTTATGTTACTCCACCTGCTTTTAATCACTGATAAGAGCTTGGCTAAGATATAGGAGCTCCCTGACCACATTTCTGAAATTGTAATGTTAGAATATTTGAGTCACTTTATCATTTTGTCCTCGTGCTTCAACATGATGGGGACCGATCCAGATGCTTTTATCCTTCAGCTGCTGCTACCTCCCCCTCTAGTGGACACAACCCTACTTTGCAAGCAGCGCCGTCCCTGATCGCCATGGCAATGTTGAAGAGGCTTATCAGCCATAAGATCCAGAGGCCTAAGGTACTCAGTTTTAAAGCCCCACGAACCAATGAATGACCTCAACACACATTTGATTCAGTATTAAAAATGACTTTGCCTGGATTACTATGTACACTACCTTGGGGTGGGTAATCTTACTAATATCTGTTTTAATTTGTTTCTGAAATGGTATCTTCCATAACAATAATAATAATATAAAAAGTGATGATGAAATAATTTAATAATAATAATAGCAACTGCCTGAGGTATTTATTTGTGTGATAAATAGCCCCTCTAATGAATATTTAAAAATTATTGAACCCTTTTGGACCTATGAAGGCTCTTTTTGCATAATTGTTAGTGATCTTATGAGATGAGCCGAGGCTTTGAGGCATCTGCTGAGTAGTAGAGGGGGCGTTTTCGCGAGGTGCGTATTGAGGCTTGCTTAATTTGGGGGAGGAGCCAAAATAGATGACGTTCGAAGCCTCACTACCCTGCCATGTCAAGTGAGCACTTCGGGAAGTGGTTCAGCTCGCCCTGAACTTCGGCAAGAATTTAAACAGCCTCAGTATTCAGTCAAGATGTGGGAGAGGTGGATAGAGTTTGGATATATTCTAACAATAGACTGGTTGGAGAAACAACCAATCTGGTTGGATAAAACTATTTTGGTTACATTAAACAATGTAATGATCAAAATCTGAGCGGGCCACTGGTTACAGGTGTAACATCAGTATTAAGTAGTATTGCCTTCAGATGAGCTATCAGCTCCCCAGTGGTGTCAGCTGTAAGACACTGATTTCCATTCCTCAGGTTGTTGGTTCAAAACCCAACTTAGACATTTGAAAGTTGCGATAAAACACAAGTATTTTTGGCTAATGTGACTAATTTGTATTGGTTTGCCCTTGTACAAATTTAGATTGGTTAAAAGCACTACCAAATTAGACGGGTTGGTTTAACCAAAAGATTGTTTGAACACATAATTTCAACCCGATTAGAACAAGTAACTGTGGAAAAACTATAATTTTTGAATAAAAATGACTAACACCTTTCATTTTGTTTATCGTTGCCCAATCTGCACAAACAGTTTCACTCTCTGCTTGAGCTTATTTCACTAAAATGGCTTAAATGATTTTCCTCTTCTTAAACATTTTACACTTAAAAAACTTACAAAATATTTGATTATACAAACCAATCATTAACAATGTCATAGGAACTGAAATCAGAACAAGAAAAACAATTCAAAAAAAAAAAAATCACAGATTATTTTACTAACTGCAGTTCTGCACTGCACCAGTAGGTGGTGACATGCTCACATGAAGCTTTATGAACTGTGGGGATCGTTGACGCAAATGGTTCAATGCCTCACGAGGCTTCATCTCACCATCACTAGTAATTGTACCTCAAAATATAAATATTTGTTAATAAAGCTTTTTCATTTAAAAAAAAAAAGTGGGAAACGTGCTTCATTTGCTTCTGCAACTGGTGTTAAATTGTAAAACTAGGACATTGCCTCTTCCTCCATGTTGATTTTTCACAGCTTTACTCACTCAGTCACCCTCTTACAGCATAGATTGGGGCCAGAAAATCCAGGAAAATCCAGGCATATATAGATATTTTGTTGAAGCTGATACTACTACCAGTATGAGCCGTGAGCACCAGTGAACCACACTAGAAACTCCAGTGTTAACTACACCAGTGCCCAGCAAGCAGATCAAGAGCAGGTCCGTCTCAGTGGCGTTAACGTTCAGTGGAACACCGGGGTGAGTGTGCATCCAAGGCACCATCCCATATTTGGTGACCGCACTCCCACATTCAACGATGGCAATCAAAACCAAAAGACAGGAAAAAAGGGCAGTTTAACTGCGGTGTTGGTGAGGGAACTGAAAAGTCAGATAAATGTTTGGTGGCTGTAGTGAGCCAACAGGAAGTATTATCAATGACACTTTAAGAGTCTGATGTGGACTGATCTTATCAACAAGGACATTTATGCAGCAATGCACTTATTTAAGTGTAAAGGGCAGTTGCACTAAAAAAACAAAAAAAACACTGTGCCTTTGGCTTGACAGCTTCTCTTGCTGATAGGCACGGCTTAAATAAAAAAAACGTTGGAGCTAATATTTATTAGCTTACCAGCTATTGAGTTTTAGCAGTACAGTTGTTTAAAAGTAAAAAAAGGTTTTTAAAAAAAAATGGATCAATGACCATAATTTCTTCAGCTGACACCTTCTTCTTTATAGTTAAAAATACTTCAGCCCGTCTACGGATTTTATTTTTTTTTTAATAAACTCTACATTAATGACACTTAGATACATAATTTCTTGCCTTTAAAATTATGCTAGTACTCAAACCAGGTTGTGTCTATTGGTTAAAAAAAAAACAGACTCACAGCTTTGAAGGGACAGCGGCAGGGTAGGCCGTAGGTGTGCAGCGGTTCAGGACAGTCCTGTCCCGGTGGAATCAGCTGGTTCAGGAGGTCGCAGGCGTCCTTATAGTGACAACTGCCCAGCTCCTCCAGGCAGGGGACCTTCACCCAGAAACCTGCAACCTCCTTCTCCAAAGTCACATTCAGCTGCAGGGGAATCAGAGGTGAGAGTGAGCTCTGGAAAGACTGAATTTAATTTCTGTATTTTAAAGAAATTCTGCACAGATACAGAAAAGCACCAAACACAACAGGACTGTAAAAACTACACACAGAAATATTCAGGCTGAGTAAAACCATAAAGATATTTTGCCAAGACGTCTATTTTAACTCATTTTTATATCCAGGCGGGTTCAAACATTTACACACCAGACTCCGCTGCTTTCTTCACTTCCTCCCCTGCTGCTGGAGATTTAAAAACTTTTTGCAAGTGGGGAAAAAAATGAGCCTTTGCCACATTCTGACGCTAAAAACCAATCAAGCTTTATTTATAGAACGCTTTACACTCCTAACTGACCAAAGTGCAGAACAAGTCCATAAAAAAGAAATAAAAAGATAAAATGAACAATAAAATAAAACATCTACATGTATTTTCTCGATAAAGTGTTAGTGAAAAGTCAAAATGGCTCTCCATCGCTCGATCGGTTGGTTGTAAAGGAATTAGTGACTTTTGTGGCCAGTCATAAACATAAAAAGTAAACAATGGTGCCAAACTGAAGCTGGGACCACTGGGTCCTAACGACAGCTGAAACCAGTCAGAACCCGTATCCACCTATTCTCCCAACTGTGTTGATCACTGCAGAAAATATGCTGAGAAGTTAACAGAAACAAGAAACTTAAAATCTGCTACAAAATGCATTTCACTAGAGTGGATCATTGTCCAAATGGTAGAAAATCCAATTTTTGATTGGATGTTTGCAGCTCATTGTGTCTCACATGATGGTTGGGCAGCAGGTCCAGCAGGGTCTGCAGCAACCAACAAAAAAACTGCTGGCTGCAGACAAACAGCTTAGCAGCTGAGTAAGAGTCTAAGGGTTTCTCACAGACTACCTATCACAGACTACCTATTGTCTGGTAAACAGACAAACATGGTTTTGTGGTTTATTAAGAAAGAAGTGGTAGAAAGTGCTGCTGGTAAAGAGGTTTTGTTTTTACTCAGCATCTCACTTCCGTTTATTGCTGCTTCTAAATAGATAGAATATCATCTATTGTTTTGTTATTGAGAGATTGAGGGTCCATGTCTAATCTGATTAGAGGGTAAACAGAAGAAATAGATAACAAAATACCTCCTGTGTTAGCGGTGAGTGTTTTCATTGATAGTTTGTTGTGGGTCAGCTGGTTTTTATGATGCAACCAAACCAAACTGTGTAAAGTCAATGAGAACAGACATGGTGTGTTCTGATTGTCCCTATAGCAAGCATCTTATTACATCTGAAAGATTTTCAGCAGATTGTTGAGGTTTGTGTTGCAGGACTTACAGAGAGAGGGGCGATGAGTTCAACCAAAGTGGATCCAGATGCCGCAGCTGTCAGTGACCCTGGGATCTTGATGGGGTCTGGAGATAGGGTAAGGGTCTTTAGTACTGCCGGAGCTTCAGGACTTCCGCAGTTCTTCCAGTCAAAACCCAAAACCTGCACAGGTTTAACACCGTAGGGATGGATGATTAACAGCCGTTTCTTCAACCTGAAATTCCCTTATTAAAACCCGCTTCAACTTTCATTCAACTTCCTGCTTTAAGAGCAGTTTTTTCAATAAGTCATTCATTTTCTGTGTGGAAATTTGCACCAGGAAAGAGACTAATATCAAAGGTCAAACAACACGAAAAGTTGCTTCTGGTCTATTATTAAAGAAACATTGTTTCTGTAATAACATTTAAAAGAAACATTGGTTCTTTGCATCAACTTTGTAGAGAAACTGAAACTGGTAAAACAAAAACAATCTGCAGAGAATTACTTAGGGTCCCATCACATTTCATTTCATCACACTTCCCATCACATTTCTCCTATAAATGAGAACGCCAATTGCATAAATAAGTGTTATTATTATTATTATTATTATTATTATTATTATTATCAGTAGTAGATTTTTTCAGAAAAAAATTCTTAAGAGTTCTCAGTTTAAGCAACTTTATGTACATATATATATATATATATTTATTATTGTTATTTTTTTTTTTTAAAGGATAATCTGGAAGGCATAGTAACTATTTCAACAAAGGTTTAAACATGGTTCCTAGAAATGCTGAATTTATATAATTGATTATTTAATCATCAAACAGGCTTTAGTGTTCTAGTGTTTCTTTCTAGTCTTCTAGTTAAAATACACCATGTTTAACACTGGTAATAACTTCCTGTTCAAGCAACGCGTTAGATACATATTTATAAACATGTAGTGAACGGTTGGACTTTAAAGGGAGACATAGTTAACAAACATTTACTAAAACAAACCTTTGCGTGTCTGACTCTCCTCAGGCTGAAGGAGCCGCCGTTTGCCTGAAATATCAATGCGGCCAGAACCGTCGTCAGGGCCGCAGTCCAATGCTGAGAGCCCGCCATGCCGTTCACCGTCTGGGCGACACCCCGAGCCGTTAAACCGAGCTGCACCGCGGGCAGAAAGGTCTGAGGAACGCGGTCCTTGAAGCAGCGCTTCCGTGTTTACCGCTGCAGTTACCGAAGGTTACTATTGGTCGTCACGTGACTGTGGGTCACGTGACGACCAATAGTCTCCGGCTATTTCAACCTTTCACTGAGGAATTTACTGTATGTTTCAGAAATGATACATGCAGTATCGGGGTCCTCGGCGGATACAAACAATAATTTATTTTTATTAAGGTATATACATGCAAACATCTGAAGCCAAAGGTGTTCTTTCTTTCTTTCTTTCTTTCTTTCTTTCTTTCTTTCTTTCTTTCTTTCTTTCTTTCTTTCTTTCTGTGAAATAATGTATTTATAATAAGAAAGAAATCTGAAGTAGTTGCAGCTCAGAACCTGCAGGTGTCGCCGTCGTCCCATGTTTGCAGCTGTCATTTTCCGTGTAATAACTACAGCATACAATAATTATATTTTCTATCTAACCCTCAGAATGCAGTTATGATTATATGAATGATGAAGCTGTGGAAAATAGAGAAATCAGGGGACAATATGTGACATTTTGTCAATCTAATATTCTTAAATGTATATTTATGTTGCCTGTTTTTTTTTTTTTTTGTTTTTTTTTATTGTCTGCTTGCTGTTATCATAAATATAGTTTCCCTTAAAATATCAAACAGAAAATGTCAAATTTATTTTTAAGGTTTGATATAAAAAAAAAAAGCTCCGCTTTCATGACGTGAATATCGCTGGATGGAAGCTGAGGAAGAGGAGGGGCAGAGGATGCTGACAGTGGAAGGAGGACCAAAGAGCTGCTCTCCATCCCATTTGTTTGGGGCCAAAATCCGCCATGCACAACTGGGTTATGATCTCTGGATAGAGTCATATTTTTCATGTCACTCTGCAATTAAACGCATAAACTGGATTATTTAAACAATATTTTCCTGGAAAAATGCTTCCCTGCTCATCATCCGCGCAGACGGAAGGATGCGAGGAGGAGAGCGACGGACACATCCAAACAGAGGTAAACCGAAAATCAAATGCATCTTTTTATTATTATTTGTGTTTTCGGTTGATCTGAAGATGAATTATATCCCTGTGTTCATAATAAAACAAAAACCTAATTTTACTCTCCGCCTCTGATGGGATGGGACATTTTGCCGGCTCGTCTCAGGCGCCGGCCGGCTTCTCATGGAGACATCAGAAAGGCAGACCCCTCCCTGAACCACTCGCCATTTTCACGCACATGAATGGATTTAAAGGTTACATTTAAAACACCGTTCATTGTTACAGACCCTTTTCCACATAAGGAATCTTCTAAGTGTAGAGAAGCTGTCTGTTATTTTTCTAGGTCGCACTTTTAAGGTGAGAAAATGCATGGCCCCATTTTTAAGCTGAGATTTAAATGCAAACATTCAAAGAAAGAACTAGACACACATGGTCTGCAAGGGGACTGGCATGGGCATCTATTTTATCACATCATTCCAAATGTTAATTTGTTATAATATGATATTGTGACATAACAAATACATAATATATATTTTTTTTTTATTTTTGGAAAAAAATGACAAGTTTAAGAGTTATAATTGCAGAGTAGAATGCAAAGAGAAAAAAATACTTTACCCTGAAAGGCCTCCTAAGATTCACCCACCTGAACTGTGAATTTCTGCAGCTCCTCCAGTGTTACTGTTGTCCTCTTCAATAGCGTAAATATCGGTAAGCAGAGACTGCAGTTGCATAGGGGCCTCTGACCTCTTAGGGGCCCCATCACTAAATCCTGGTAGGCCCCCTATGCAATTGACTAGGACGTCTCTTTGCAGAGAATAGTGCTAAATATTCCTAATTTACACACCTGATGCTAAACTGACTGACCAGACCTTATTTATACCACAACACATGCCAGATTTCAACATGATGGTGAGCCATTTAAACACGACACCAATAGCAAAGCAGTGGTACTTTTAATTACTATGTTAATAACTGTGCATAGTTCATTAGACGATTGGTAAAAAATACACTCATATAATGTGTTTCAAACCGCAATAAAGATCTTAAAAGAACAATGTATTTGAGTATTTTATTCTTTACAATACGACTTGAAAATATGGGTAATCCAAAGCGTAGATTAAAACCATTACGGTTACGTACAATGTGTTAGAGACCATGGATACCAAAAAGAGGTACTGAAGCGGATTCCAGAAAAGAAAAAACAAAGAAGAGCTGTTGGAGGAACGGAAAAAACTTCCCAAAATAAACACATTCTTTCAAAGAACCTAAGAGTGAGAGGCGGATGTTGCTGCTTCAGTGAGTGAAGATTTCGACAAGATAAGTGAAGAAATTCAAGCAAGTATATATGTCTAGGTGAAGAATGATGAAGCGGCGGCAGGGGGCATGGGGGGGCGGGGGTATATGGGGTGTTATACTTCATATGGGGCCCACCCAGAAAATGTTGCTTATATTGGTGTGTCATTACGTCATTGGTCCTCTTGACTCTTTCTCTGATATTGTTCACCTTGCTCAGTCATGCTTGTTTAGGTGCATAGGCAATTCTAGACAAACGATTGAGCATTTACCAGTAAGATTGGAATATAGTTTACACACGAACTTTAACTTTAGACTAACTATCCCTGGCCTGCATGGAGTGCTCTATGAGTGTCTAGATTCAATATTTTTATTTACGATCGTTATCAGATCATACATACTTTCATTACTCATTCAGTAGTGTGGAATGCTTGAGAAGATTGATCAAGGGATATAACTCAAACCTTAAGCATCACCTTTGTCAACTTGCTGGTAACAGAGCCTTTAAATACAGGTTGATACATTACGATATGAATTTTTGGCTGATATTGGACTGATTTCCGACACCAATATCTGATTAGGACATCCCTATTGTATTCCAAGGTATTGGAATTATTTCAATTGCAATCAAAGTGACAGGAAAAAAAAGAATGGGAGAGAGGCGGGGT